TGACATCTCAGTAACTGGGAGGTCACCGTGACATTTCAGTAACTAGAAGGTCAGTGTGATGTCTCAGCACAGTAACTGGGAGGTTAATGTGAAGATACAGTAAAATAATTTGGTGTGTCACCTATGCTGGCACTAATATATTAATAGTTGAACTTTTTGGTGATGTGAAACTTATGCATTCTAAGAGTGTACAGTTTTATCACATGAATCATCATTTCCTCATTAAATCTAGTCACAGTGATATTGTGATAATAGTGATGTAGAGACAGTGTTCACATACTCAGTGGGAGGAGAATGAAACAGGTGCCAAGGTCAACACCATCTGAATACTGTATATATGCAATGTTTTATTACTATATTTTTTAATGAACAAAATTGTACTGTATCTTGTTAGACTTTTTGTTACTATACTTATTATTGCTATACTGTATTTTTATGTATATTCCTTTGTAGTGTTATCATATACATTACTTACTTAATGCCAATTAAACTGGTTTATCACATTGATACCCTTACAGGTATTGTCCCAAATTAATATTAAACTAGTTTATCACTTGTATGTTGTTAGGCAACTTACATCTAACATTTTAATTTCAGTTTTATTGTAATATATTTATTTAACAGTGTTACAGCTGCGTGTTCATCAGTATTACAGGTTAGTGGCATTCAGTTTCCTTCCCCTCCTGAGCTCTACGCTTCATGACTGTAGTCGACGTAAAGTTTATATTTACTCACGATCCTCTCTAATATTGTTCTCATCTAAATGTTAGATTTTCAAAAATAAACTTTTTAAAAAATATTTTGTTTATAATTCACCCTTTATATCCTTAACCCTTTGATGCTGATTTTTATGAGACTTTTACCTTCCCAAGACTGAATACTTAAAATGTATAAATGCTTTCATATGTCTTGGTGAATTTATTGAGCTGGATTTTAAAATTCAGCAGCGTTTATGGCTTCGGCGGATATGCAGATGCAGTTTCATGGGTTTATAACTTTATGGGTGGAGAAACATCTGTTTTCTGTCCCGATCTTTTTTTTACATTATTTTGTGGAGTTCATTTGGTAGTACAGTTAAAGACTTCTGTCTGTGAACCCAGCAGTGGTCTGTATTTGTTTGCTGACTTTCTGGTTGCTTTCCTGTTAGTTGGGTGAGTTGGGGGGGGGGGGGGGGGCAGTGTCATCACCTCTCTCCTACCTCTGTTGGGGAGGGTCCCTGGGGAGTACCTGGTAGGACAAACAGAACTCTGCAGGTGATGTGATCTAGTAGTTGGGAGCCATCTCTGCAAGATGAGCCTGGGACCTAGTACAGGGGCTTAACCAGAGAAAGGCATTTCATTATATTCAACCCTAGTTTTTTCTGACGAAATTAATCCTAATCTACAGTCTCTAATAGGGCAAAGAGTAAGGGGTGACATGATTGAGTACTAAGTTAACTCTCATACGAGAACAGGTTGAGGGCCACAGGGCTAATAAACCAGACATGACAGGGCTCATCTCATTGAAACTTTTAAAATACTGTACTGAACAATTTGGAGGATGTTGATCCAGACAACTTCTTCAAAAGTTCAGATGTAACACAAACAAGGAGCAACGGTTTCAAGCTCAACAATCCATGATGTAGGACTGAGAACAGGAAATACTTATTCACCCACGGGGTTATAAACCCATGGAGCTGCTTACTCGCCGAAGCTGTAAATGCTAATGTTTAGTTTAGTTAATTTATTATGCACCCCATACCCATCTTGTGGGTGGTAATGGAAAGGGTTACAGAGTCACATAATGGGTTCAGGGACTGAATCCACCAATTTATTTAGCTCAGCAAGTTAAAATCTTGATGAGCTAGTTACAAAATTCAATACACAGTGTCACAACATCAATGGGTTCGCAATCTACCACAAGTACAGTTTCTAAATTAAACAAGTGACATATGTATGTGTAGAGCTAGTGTCACAATTGATGTTTGTCCTGCACTCTGCCCCCCATCCAGTGGGTAGCAGTGGATAGGTTACAATCACACAGTTACTACCTATTTTAAGTGAAATATTTACACATCTCTGGAACATTTGTTATAGAATTGTCTCTGAATTCACGTATCTTTTTGCACTCCATCACATAGTGATAAGAGGGTGTGCGAATAATTTAGTTGAAACTGTTTACATTTGGTCAGGTCTACATCAGCAGATAATGAGAATTCCCAGTGATACTTGTAACCGAGTCTAAGACGAGCAGTAGCAACATCTAGACGTCTGCTGATTTTATTGGATGATCCATAGATGTGTGGCTCCTCTTGCATGATAGTATGATGAAAGATGGAATTACTGGTGTCAATTTCACTTTGCCTCAGATCTATGAGATTTTGTTGAAGCACGGGTGCAACTGGAAGTGCAGTTCTGACAATGGGCGATGGCTTATATTTTGAGTGGAGAGTCCGTATAAATAATTGGGCCTCTACTCTTCAGACCGAATGATTTGCCTTGCTTCTTGTACCGAAATGTGTACACGTCAAAAAACTTGATACACACATTCTAAATATAGCAAAAAAAGTTTCTAAAACTTTTGGCATTCTTTCTAAAATCAGATATTATGTACCTCGTCCTGCTCTGGTGACACTCAATTACTTTCTCATTTATCTTTATCTCAATTATGGTATTTGTGCTTGGGGCTCTGCTACCCAAAATCATTTACGTCCTCTAATTATTGAACACAAAGTTTCTATTAGAACAATATCTAACTCTGACCCCAGACATCACTCGGTACCCTTACTCAAATCTCTGAATATGTTAGATATTAAGTCACTGCACATCCTCACATGTGTACTCTATATATTTAAAACTCTGAATTGTAATGTCAATCCTGACCTTAATAGTTTCTTAGAAGGTTGTAACAGAACCCATGGGCACCACACCAGAAAGAAATATCTTATTTATTTATTTATTTATTTATTTATTTATATATATACAAGAAGGTACATTGGGATAGTGAGGATACATAGGATAGTAATTACATTCTTGTAAAGCCACTAGTACGCGGCAGCGTTTCGGGTGGGTCTTTAATCTAATAAAATTTTAAGTAGGTAAATACTAGCAAAATTTATAAAAATGAAAACAGGTACATAGCAAGAAAACAACAGTCTCCGTGGTGTAGTGGTAAGACACTCGCCTGGCGTTCCGCGAGCGCTATGTCATGGGTTCGTATCCTGGCCGGGGAGGATTTACTGGGCGCAATTCCTTAACTGTAGCCTCTGTTTAACGCAACAGTAAAATGTGTACTTGGATGAAAAAACAATTCTTCGCGGCAGGGGATCGTATTCCAGGGACCTGCCCGAAACGCTACGCGTACTAGTGGCTGTACAAGAATGTAACAACTCTTGTATATATCCCAAAAAAAAAAAAAAAAAAAGATGAGAGAAATTTGTAGGTATATTAAAGCACATAGGTAGCTCAGATTGATTGCAATGACAGCTTGAATGGTAGTTTAACAAAAAAATTAGTGGGCACAATACAGCATATGGCTAGCACATAAAAGAAGACAGCAATGAACACAATGATAAAGTTGTTTGGATTAAGTACATAATATGTACCTATTTAATATTCCTATTTCAATATAGTACCTATTTGTACCTATATTTCAAATAATTCCAAGAGCATGACTTAATCAAACTAGATATGCTCTACAAATCAAAGGACTCAGAATGTGGAATTTACCTTCCCAATCATGTCAAAGGCTGTACCTCTCTCAACCAGTTTAAGATAAAAACTAAGTACTACCTAATTAACTCATGTAACCTACCTTACCCCTATACGTAATGTCAACCCATGTCTTACTATTTTTAAACAATGCAGTTTGTTGACCAACCTGTATGTTGGCTATTTTCTACCATGTTCCCCCTTTTTATTTTATTTTTTTGTTCTTTCAACGCAATTTATACTTTAAGCTCAATTTCTAATTAAGTTTTAGTTTGTGTTTTTTTCCCCACCTCACCTTGTTCAGTTCAAGGGCTTTAGGTAGTGTATGTAATAGTTTTATCTATAAATCCAAAATCATGTTTGTAACTAATCCTCTATGTTTGTACTTTTACCTGAATAAACATTTGATTTGATTTTGAGATGAATATTGCGGGTTTGGAGCTCGACGAGCGATAACAAATGCAACTTTTATAATAAAATTATATATATCATAGGTTTTACTTAAAATATTTTTATGGTAAAGGTTTTTACATATAGATCCCGTTTTTATCTTTCTTCTGACACATAAATAATTTTAGTTTAATAAGTTATCAATATTTTTTCAACAATATTTTTGGGGCGTTCGTCTATTCCAACACGGGCGAGTGTTTTGTTAAGGCAACACCTGGGTTGACCCAATTGAGAGTGGTGTTATGTATACCTCAGTCTTGTTAATACATTATTGTTTATACTACCTCTATCTATAAATCGATCAATCTTTGTAAAATCTCTTGTATGTATGTACCTTACCTAAATAAACATTTATTTATTTATTTATTTATTTATTTATTTATTTATTTATTTATTTATTATGGATACATTCTCCCCGGTGAGGCTCACCATAATATTGATTTACAGTATTTATTTGTATTGTTATTTTGTTTTTATTTGTAATTATTTATTTTTATTGCTATTTATTTTTTATTTGTAATTGTCTATTTTTATTTGGAATTATTTATTTTTATTTTTTATTTATTTTTATTTTTTATTTTTTTATTTTTATTTTTTACAAGAAGGTACAATGGGTTTGTGAGATTACATAATACTGTATTGATATTTTTACACTCTTATAAAGGCACTAATAAATGGGTAGTGAATAGTTCCCTGCTGCTTCTTGCGCCTATATAATAGTAATATTAATTATAATAATGTTTATTCAGGTAAAAGTACATACATACAGACGAAATAAGTTACAAATAGAATGTTGGATTTCTAGGCAGAGCGAGTAATATAGTAGGACTAAAGCCACCAGTAGGTAAAAATAACTACGGGCTCACTATAGCCCGTGCTGCTTGGAACTTTTTGTTCCGGGTAACGAATCTTGAACAACAACAGCAGCAGTAGGTGCGTCGCCAGGGAGTCCCGGCCGGCGCCTGTGTCGGCTCCTGTGGCTCAACCTTCACCACCACCAGTACGGGCACGTGAGGTCAGGGGCTGGCTCAGGTCACCACAGGGTCAAACCCCACTCTCGCCCACCTGCCGGTGTTGTGACCCAGGCCACTAGTGTGTTAGTGACCCAGGCCACTAGTGTGTTAGTGACCCAGGCCACTAGTGTGTTAGTGACCCAGGCCACTAGTGTGTTAGTGACCCAGGCCACTAGTGTGTTAGTGACCCAGGCCACTAGTGTGTTAGTGACCCAGGCCACTAGTGTGTTAGTGACCCAGGCCACTAGTGTGTTAGTGACCCAGGCCACTAGTGTTAGTGACCCAGGCCACTAGTGTGTTAGTGACCCAGGCCACTAGTGTGTTAGTGACCCAGGCCACTAGTGTGTTAGTGACCCAGGCCACTAGTGTGTTAGTGACCCAGGCCACTAGTGTGTTAGTGACCCAGGCCACTAGTGTGTTAGTGACCCAGGCCACTAGTGTGTTAGTGACCCAGGCCACTAGTGTGTAGTGACCCAGGCCACTAGTGTGACCCAGGCCACTAGTGTGTTAGTGACCCAGGCCACTAGCCACTAGTGTTAGTGACCCAGGCCACTAGTTAGTGACCCAGGCCACTAGTGTGTAGTGACCCAGGCCACAGGTCACTAGTGTGTTATATGACCCAGGCCACTAGTGTGTTAGTGACCCAGCACTAGTGTGTGTGACCCAGGCCACTAGAGTGGTGATGTGGTGGGTGTGTAGGTGACTAGAGCCTGGCAGGCCGCTCCCAGCCTCAGTGATGGGTGTGTTAGGTCTGGTACACTCTTCACTGCTCTCTAAACTCTTCCTTCCTCTGCTTGGAACCACCTTAGTTTTGGCACTTGAATATTTTATTCTGGGATTTGTTTTTTTTATCTTTAATAAAATACAATATAAATCATATATACATAAATTTTACAAGGCAATACTACAGTACATATACAGTAGTATAATTCTCAGTAAATAATTGTTTCATATTATCACAGAGCTTGAACTTTAAACCCCTAAATGTTATACTTATTTTTCTTTAAATGATTTACAATTTTAGAGTTTATATTTACATTAATTTACAGGGTAAATTATTACATATATATATATATATATATATATATATATATATATATATATATATATATATATATATATATATATATATATATATATATATATATATATATCACCCCAAAGAATGAGGTATTATGGTAAAATATATATGCCCAAGATTACTATCCGAGTGCCGGCGGTGGGGTGGTTCAAATAGCCTCGGCTATCACCTCATTATGTCCGGTCGTGATGGTCAAGTGGATTAAGGCGTCTCGTACATAGTCCTGGGGACCATTCAGGCTTGTTCGCATTGTGTTCCTCACGTGTGCCCCAAAGAATGAGGTGATTTGGTAAAATGCTATGCCCAAGATTACTATCCGAGTGCCGGCGGTGGGGTGGTTCAAATAGCCTCGGCTATCACCTCAGTCCGGTCGTGATGGTCAAGTGGATTAAGGCGTCTCGTACATACCAGTTGTGTTGCTCCTGGGAGTATGGGTTCGAGTCACTTCTGGGGTGTGAGTTTTCAGTTGCATATTGTCCTGGGGACCATTCAGGCTTGTTCGCATTTGTGTTCCTCACGTGTGCCCCAAAGAATGAGGTGATTTGGTAAAATGCTATGCCCAAGATTACTATCCGAGTGCCGGCGGTGGGGTGGTTCAAATAGCCTCGGCTATCACCTCAGTCCGGTCGTGATGGTCAAGTGGATTAAGGCGTCTCGTACATACCAGTTGTGTTGCTCCTGGGAGTATGGGTTCGAGTCACTTCTGGGGTGTGAGTTTTCAGTTGCATATTGTCCTGGGGACCATTCAGGCTTGTTCGCATTTGTGTTCCTCACGTGTGCCCCAAAGAATGAGGTGATTTATAAAATGCTATGCCCAAGATACTATCCGAGTGCCGGCGGTATATAAATAGCCTCGGCTATCATCATTATATGATGGTCAAGTGGATTAAGGCGTCTATATACCAGTTATATATATATATGGGTTCGAGTACTTATATATAGTTTTCAGTTGCATATATAGGCTTGTTCGCATATATATATATATATATATATATATATATATATATATATATATATATATATATATATATATATATATATATATATATATATATATATATATTCTCAGTAAACAAATTTTCCATATCACCGAGCATTAACCGTAAACCCCGTATGTTATACCTGATCCTGCCTCGCAAGAACTTCAATATTTTGTCTACTGAGTAACCCTCCTGCCTGCCAGTCCAAAACGTTTATTAGAGACTATTGGTGGTAAAGCCCCTGTGTACTGGGGGCCCATTCTTCCAAAATCACACTCTTAAAGTTATAGAAGTGAACATTTTTGTATTGTCACTTGGTTATCAAGATTGTGCTTCATAATTTTTAGGTATAAGTTCTGTACTATTTTCGGTCATAATGCACTGTATCTAGAGTGCAGCGTCTAGGGGTCCTGTAGTCGTTTAACTTTCCAGTGAGCCCAAGAAATTACAGGACTTTTTTTTCTTTTAACAAGCTTAGGTATACAGTACACATCAATGTGCTGGAATATAGACAGCAGTTATTCTACTGTTATCAACCTGTCAAAAATACTGTAGTGTCTGCCATTAGTAGTGTTCCCTGTGTCTAGGAGAATACAGTATCTCAAAGTGCAGTTTTTATAGAAAATTCTAAATGCTGAATGAATTAGATCTTTCAGCTTTTAGATCTAACCTAAAGATTGTGGTTATGATGGTAGTCAAATTGCACATAGGCATTTTGATAAACCTTGTTTTCAATTTGTCAAAATTTGTATATATCATTAGATTAGGCTGGGCTGTGTTAGTGGTGTATGATCTAATCTCACACTGTTAAGAGGCGGAACAAAGAGTCGAAGTTCAACCCCCGCAAACACAATTAGCTGAGTACAAGAGGGTTCAACAAAGCCCATTCTCAGATTGTCAAAACCATATACAGTACTGTATATACTGTTAGATTAATATCTATTAATTATAATTAGGCTGTGTAGGATTCTCATTTGGTTAGGTTTGGTAAGCATTAAAAATACTAATACAGTACTCTACTGTTGCTAATAATTTATTGTGTTGGGAGACAGGCAGCCAGTATATATATACAGGATAGGCTTATGTCGATGTCCTCCTAGGGTCGAATTATTGACTCCTCAGGATACAACCTCACAGCAAATTGACTAACTCTGGGCACCTACTGGGTACACGAGGGAGCCGGTCGGCCGAGCGGACAGCACGCGGGTCTTGTGATCCTGTGGTCCTGGGTTCGATCCCAGGCGCCGGCGAGAAACAATGGGCAAAGTTTCTTTCACCCTGTGCCCCTGTTACCTAGCAGTAAAATAGGTACCTGGGTGTTAGTCAGCTGTCACGGGCTGCTTCCTGGGGGTGGAGGCCTGGTCGAGGACCGGGCCGCGGGGACACTAAAGCCCCGAAATCATCTCAAGATAACCTCAAGATAAAAGATAACCTATTTACTGCTAAGTAAATAGGGGTATTAGATGATAGGAAACCACCAACCATTTCTGTCCCACAGGGGACTCAAACCTGGAATTCCCCAATTTTTTTTTTTTTTTTTTATGTGCAAGAGTTCTTACATTCTTGTACAGCCACTAGCACGTATAGCGTTTCAGGCAGGTACTTAATCCTAATATTTCCCAGAATATGACCTGCCAAGTCATTTAACAACTAGGTATCCATTTTACTGTTGGGTAAACAGAGGCTACAGTTAAAGATCGGCGCCCAGTAAATCCTCCCCAGCTAAAACACGAACTCAGGCCAAAGCGCTTGCAAAACGCCAGGCGAGTATCTTGCCCTTATGCCATAGGGAATGCTTAACTGATTGTGAGTCGAAAATGATCCAATATGACTTGTATCCATATAAGTTCAGCTTAGGCTGTGTTTTATTTTTTATTTTACTTAGTGTATTTACATATACAGTACAAGAGTTCTTACATTCTTGTAAAGCCACTAGCGCACATAGCATTTCCGACAGGTCCTTAATCCAAATTTTCCCCAGAATATGACCTGCCAAATTGTTTAACAATCACTGCTGAGTGAACAGAGGCTACACTTAAGGATTGGCGCCTGGTTAATCCTCTCCGGCCAGAATACGAACCCAGGCCAAAGCGTTCGCGAAGCATCGTGCAAGTGTTTTACTACTGCGCCAAGGGGGACTAAACTTAGGCTTAGCTTAGACTGTGTTGGCTTTGGCTGGGTAGTTTTAATATTGTTGATGAATCATTTAGGGCATATTGACTATAATGAATAAAAACACATTGGGTACTGTACTATGGTATTGAAGTATAAAATATAAATAGTATAATGAATATTTTGCCAAACCATTGTGTTGCTATAATGCAATGCAATATTTTCATTGTGATGGCGCGTTTTAGCATTATTAGTGATACGACTGTAAATATTCTGTTGATATTGTGTAATTTCACATTTAACTATTTTATTTTTAATTATACTGTAATTTGAGTGAGAAACTCAATTTTAATAATGTCCAAACTGAATTATCAACAGGTTAGTGATAATGTCGGAAATGGGAAAAGAGCTGCAGGGAGACTCAAGTTCAAATTCCACAGGTAACATAATCAAGTCAGGTTACATTGATGTTACCAAAAGACAGAATGAAGATGGTACGAAGTCATCATTCTCCAGTGAGTATTGTTAACTGTCAGTATTTCTTAAGTACAGTATGTGTACTCATTAAAATTCATATAAAATTTATTTATTCTCTTAATAATGTGCAGTGTTAAGCATGTCACCTAAGGTGGGGTCAAGTACACACACAGGGTGGCATGTATAATGGTGTGCAAGGAAAAGCACCTGATTAATTTTTGGATTAATTTAATATTAAAATTTTTCATTCCACAGTTATCTTGTGCAACAAACTACAGTACTAATCATGCAGTATATCTTTTCTTGACATCCTTAATTTCCAATCCTTTAAGGATTGTTTTATATAAGCTAATAGTCTTCCTTTTTTCCATAGTGATTGGCTGTGGAGAATCTTGCCTAAGGGAGCAACCAAGTCGGGTTTATTCCAAACTCACAATAGGAAATTTTGGGTTCAAATCCTGGGCGGGACAGAAATGGCTGGGCATGTTTCCTATCGCTTAATGGCTCTGTTCACCTAGCAGTAAATTGGTACCTAGAAGGTAGTCAGCTTGTTGTGGGGTTGCATCCTGGGTGGGGGTCAATAATTCCACCTTGGGGGGGGGGATCTCAATATAAGCCTAACATGTATGAATACACTAATAATACTGGCTGCCTGTCTCCCAACACAATGAATTATTATTGTACCCTGGTTGCCTGTCTCCCAACACAGTGAATTATTAATTATTATTAAATAAGGCTTTGATTGTTGATTGAAAGCTCCTTTCTGAGCAAGCCACTCAGTTCCCATTCTCTCCTAGTCATTCCAGCTACCCCATGCTGTGTGGGGTTTGAGTCTTGATGCATGCGAGGTGTCAGATCCTGGCTTCTCTGTTGACACTGTGGGTGCTAACATCTTGTGGTGGTCCGGTGTATCAATCAGGTTGCCAACTAACAATTAACAGGGCAATATGAGCAGGATAATGCCTAATGGAGTAACCAGGTGGCTTGCTTGAAAAGTACTGTAGCTTTTATTCTACACCTAACGCCCTATATTTTAAACGGTAATTGAAAGGTGAGCAAAGTTGGTCTCTTAAGGCAAGCAGCTCAGTTGAATTAAACCAAATCACATTAATATAATAAAATAATAGATTAAACATTGAATTTTTTATACTGTACTAATTTTCTAAAGATTATCTTTGTTTTAATTCTAAAAGTTTATAAATTTTCCCAACAGAAGCTTTCAGCAATTTGAAGAATTCGGAGTTCTATGAAGAACCTCCACCAGAAATTAAAGCAGCTGCAGAAAGCTGTGCCAAGTTGTCAGGAGCAGCAACAAAGCCTTCTACAAAAAACTGTGTTATGGTTAGCTCCAGGCAAGTAAGTGACTTAAACTGTACTCGTCTAGTTGTACTTACGGGGGATGAGCTTCGACTCTTTGGTCCTGCCTCTCAACAGTCGATCTACTGGTGTACAGATTCCTCAGCTTCTCAAGCTGTATCATATCTACATTTGAAACTGTATATGGAGTTGGCCTCCATCACATAATTTCCTAGTGCATTCCATTTACTAACTACTCTGACACTGAAAAAGTTCTTTCTAATGTCTCTGTGGCTCATTTGGGGTACTCAGCTTCCAACTGTGTCCCAGTGTGCAAGTACCTCCCATGTGAAATAAGCCATCCTGGTCTACCCTGTCAATTCCACTGAGAATTTTGTATGTGGTGATCATGTATCCCCGAGCTCCTGTCTGACATTAGCATATCAGCCTGGATAAGCTCTGGGGAACCTCCGGGTCTCACCCAGAAAATGGCGTTCCATTACATTCAACGCTGGTTTTTTTTGTGTGTTTATTGAGAATGAGATGTAGAATGTCTTTGGTTACATTCTCAAACACTCAGCTGTGCTTTCATGAATTGTATGCTAGTGTCCATACCTAGGTAGAAAAGGCTATCATTAGAATAGGGGATAGTAATTATATAGATGCACATAACAAATCACGAAACTCAGCACTCCAATTGCTTTGTCTTTACTTTTCAGAGAGGCAACCCAATACTTAAGTTTATTCGTAATGTTCCATGGGAGTATGGAGATATAATTCCTGACTATGTGATGGGAGCCACTACCTGTGCCATGTTTCTAAGTCTGCGTTACCACAATCTCAACCCAAACTACGTTCACGACCGACTCAAGCAGCTCGGCCGTCAGTATGAGCTGCGTGTACTGCTTGTTCTTGTAAGTAAATTGATGTTTGAATGTACGAGTCTTATAAGCACTTATCTTAAGGTTATGCCCAGTACTTGTTATTTACCATAAGTATTTTTTATTAGGTTTCTCTGGTAGGAATACTTTGGTATTCCTACCAGAAATATACATTTCATTCATTGAAATGTATGCATCAGTGAATGTATGAATGAAAAATATGTATGCATGAATGAATGAATGAATGAATACCTCTTATGGCCAATAAGTGTCTTATGCAGGTCTTTTATTCATATGTTCAAATGATAATTGGTTGACCTGGTATACTTCACTAGAACCATATAGAGTTGTGAACATAATCATTATACATATTATGTTTGTCAATATACATGTATAATTATATTATGTAATTACAGTATAATATTTTATACCATGACAATTATTGCATAATAACATTTGCAATCATAACCACATTTACATTGTAATCAATCATGAAATAATAGAATTGTTTCATGGGTCATGGTAAACTCCACTACCTCCATATAGAGCTATTATATCCATATTAGCATCATTGGTATACAAACCAGATAATAATTGTTAAAAATCAGTTTATGATAACCATACTATCCATCAATCAACATTTGACAATAACTACACTTTAAGAGTTAAGTTACTGGTAGTTCCTGAGGTGCCACCCAGAAAGGGGCATTCTGTTACCCCTTACCCCAAAAGTACATTCTTTTGGCTACTTTATTCATCACAGATTTTCTGTTTGACATATGAAAGCTAACTCTGAGGTATCTGAAATACTGTATATATATTCTCCAGATACTATTTGTGATGTTTCTTATTGCATGTTAATTCTGAATTATTTTCTTGTACTTCTTATATTGATTTATGTCGTGCCAAAGCCTTGGGCATACCTTCCTTGCCTAAGCTTTGTAATCTTGCAAGAATTATGCAATTGTGTAAGCAAGAATAATTAGTTGTATTCATTTAACTACAGTAGCTTTTCATCTTTAGGTTGATGTAAAGGATCCACATCATGAACTAAAGCAACTGACTAAAATTTGTGTGATGGCAGATATGACTCTTATGCTAGCATGGAACCAAGAAGAGGCAGGACGCATTATTGAAGTGTACAAGATATTTGAGCACAAGCCACCTGACCTTATAATGGAAAAACAAGATGCGAATCCATACTCTATGGTAAGCAGGATATAATATTCATTGATAGTTTTATACGTACAATACCTCTTTCTGAGTTGCTTATCCATCCTATTTAGCATTCATGTTCTTAGTATATATGAATTAATAATGACAATGGCATCTTGCCTTGAATAAAAAACTACAACTTCGTAGGTTTTCCATACATTAGTAGATTATGGTTCACCTTACAGTTTACCATTATCAGGTGCAAAAAGCTTGTTAGACTTATTAAGGTTCCCCTAGACAAACTACTGACCTTTACCAGGATTCAACCCACATCAGTCACCAAGCTCCCAGATGTCTACTATTTATTGCAAGGTGAACAGGTGAATCAGTTGAATGGAAATGTTACCCATACACTTTTGCACTACTGCAGGAATTAAACCTGAGACCTGACTCTGCCACAGGGATGATACTGTAGTGAATGTTGGTCTACGCATTTTGCATCCAAAATTAAAATATTTGTTAAAATTCCATTTATTGCTCAATTATTATGGGATTAGTTTTAAAATGCCCGCCTTCAGATTGCGAACAATTTAATTCCAAAATGAATGATGTAGCATGACAATTTAATGGTCTGTGTACAGATCTAGCTTCCCCCCTTCCCCCTCTCCCCCTTCCCCCCCCTTCCCCCCTCCCCCCTTCCCCCCCTTCCCCCTCTCCCCCTTCCCCCTCTCCCCCTTCCCCCTCTCCCCTCCCCCCTCTTCCCTCCCCCCTCTCCCTCTTCCCCCCTCTCTCCTTCCCCCCTCTCCCCATCCCCCCTCTCCCCATCCCCCCTCTCCCGTTCCCCTCGTTCATCTTCCCCTTGTTCATTCTCCCCCATTCCCCGTTGCCTCATTTTTCCTTCCCTTCCCCTCCCCCTTTGCATCATCTTTCCTTCCCTTCCCCTCCCCCTTTTGTGGTGCTGGCCCTTTCCTGCCATAAAACTGTAATCAAGTGTTCTTAGGTAAGAGACATTTGCCTTTCCGTCGCAGGCCAATCCTCTTCCCCAAACCTCTCCCAATCCTCCTTCCCAATCCTCCTCTTCAATCCTCCTACCCAACCGTTTCCCCTCTCCTGTCTCCTCTGTAGCCATTGACAAATTGAGGGCCAATAAACTCAGCCGGTGCCATATACCTCCTGCTCCGATTTCCTGGGTGTAGCATGGGAACGGGCGGGTAATCTGTGGTAGGGAAACATACTAGTACTTTCAGAGCAGGCCTATAGCCTAGCCTGGAGCTCATCGGTGGAAACTCAGGGAGGCCTAGTGGGCGGAGTTAGTCAGAGCACTGGTTGGCTGGACCAAGGCCTAGAGCCAGACTAGAGAGAGACATGGAAGGCTCGCCAAAGAGTTCTGAAAGGCGTTGTCCGGCACTGATTCAAACGCATTGGAGATAGCAGAGGCAGCTGCGGGGGGATAGACGTCAACTGCAGAAGAAGCGGAGGAGAGGAGCAACTGGTCAGCCTCAGGAACGGGAAGGACGGATGCGGAAAGAATTTAGTGATGAAGTGGACCAGCACCGTCTCGAGTGCATCCACAATTCAAGCAACAATAGCGTCAACAAGATCAGGACTCGGTTGAATGGCGGGCGGGAGAGAAGCCTCAGGGGCGAGAGGAACGTCAGTGACAAACGGGTCCGGCACAGGCAAAGGTGGTGACGGAGGGAGAATCGGAGGGTGACAAGGAACTGGGGCAGAATGAGGCAAAGCACGACTGGAGGGCGGAGTGATGGATGGGAAGAGCCTTAGTTAGCGCCACAATGTAAGAAGAACACTGCTTGAAAGTGATGGCATGATCACCACCACAGTTGGACAGTCGGGGCAACAGAGCTTGTCGGACTCAGTCATGAGTGTAATGGGAACCAGAGCATTTGCCACAATGGACATCATTGGTGCAGCCATGGAAGGTATGGTGAAAACCCTTACAACGAAAGCACTGAGTGGGACGGGGAACGCACACCTCCAATTTATGGAGGAAGCCATTAATCCAAACCCGATCAGGGGGGAAGGAAGTCAAGAAAAGTAAGGAGCGCAGTGCCGGTATCACACCGGTCACCATCAATTCTACGCATAAATTTCTTGACACCAAAGATCGAAATGTTAGCATCCTGCTGTTGCGCCTTGATGTCGTCTGCACTAACGTCAACAACATGCCGGACCACAAATCTTACCAAACGGTCACCCAGAGGCATATAACAATGGACCTTGTAACCACAGATATCAGTAATGTCTGAAAGCACCAAGTACCCGGAGGAAGCGTGGTCCACGGCAATCAAGTTCCTGCGTTTATTCGCCCTGAAATCGTGCACCATGATCTTAAAGATCTTGGGAACGGCTTGATAGAAAAGACTGGGTGCCCTACTATTTCCAAAAATACTCCGATCAGTGGGCGTATCGGCATCAAAGGCGATGATGAATGTACGTAGGCCAAAACTCATCTGACTGGGAGGGAGTGGAGGGCGTGGAGACAGAGGTTGCGGGGGGTCACAGGGCACCGCAGGACGCAGGTGACGTTTCGCCTCCAATCTATTCGCCTTACTATGATGTTTACTGTCCAGAAAACCACCCTCGGGATCCCCCTCCAAGACCGGGAGAACGTCTTGACCAGAATGCGTGCCAAGGGACAACGGGTCCTGAAAACCCTCAAAGGGATCGGAAATGTCCACGGGAAAAACCCTGCGCGAACCATCATCCGCCACCATGGTCGGCCGGCCGAGACACACTCGCCCCTACACAGACTGACTGCCCTTTCTTCTCGCTTTGGGCATGGCAGGGTTTTTGTCATACCCGCACGCTGGATTGGCTGGAGCTTACTACAGCATTACAGGTTTACTTGGGGGCGGGGGGCTTTTGAGTACCTCAATGCATGCCTTTATGCCCCCGTGCTTCTTTGTGAGGTTGGCTTGCTCCAGTTGCATGCTCTTGTCCCCCCTCTTTCGGCTGCCTTGGTTTCAGAGGATCTAGCCTCGGGCCTGTGCTTCTTTTTCCCCTTTTTGATCTGTCCTAGTACTGGCTTGTGGAGGCGTTGAGTGCCGGGCTGTCATCTGGGGCATTGGCCAGATAGGAAGGGGTCTCTGGGACTCTCCGAGAAAATGGCATTTCGTTGCGTTCAACGCTGGTTTTGTTATATCTTTATTCATCTTTCCTAATATTGCTATCCTATTTTCCTCCCTGCCCCATTTGGAAATGGAAAATAAAGATGATGATTATGCAAGGTAATTAGAGGCAAAAAGAAGCATTCACATAATTAATTTTCCCCATTCACATTACTTCGTCAAAATAAACTTGAATGACTGCTTCTTGTACACCTTTACTAATTGTAACCCATTTAGTTATTAATGAGCAAGGGCAACAGGAAAACAAATATAAAATACTAATAGGATACTTGATGTTCCAATGGATTTGCAGATCTTTAAAAAATTACATTTTTTCAGCTTATTGATTCCCTGACATCTATAAAGTCCATCAATCGCACAGATGCCATGACTTTGTTATCAAATTTTGGCTCACTAGAGAAGATTGTGCAGGCAAGTGAGGATGAATTGTCGATGTGTCCAGGCCTGGGTCCTCAGAAAGCATCGAGGCTTTACAAGATCCTACATCAACCCTTCAAAAAAGTAACAAATAAAAATAAGCTGGAGCAGCATCTTTCCAGTAGCTCCATAAACTTAAGAACTTCACATATACCTGAAGCTCCAGCTGGTGAAAAGTTGAATGTATGACAATGAAAATACAAATTTTATGATTTAAATATATTTTGAAATTATTTTTTGCATTTCATCTTGACCTCTTCCATATAATGGAATGGATTATACAAGTTTTTTTTGTGATGTCATGTGAATTCCTTCACACATAGTGAAATGGCTGAGATTGGTGTACCTGTACTGTACCTGTATTTTGTACTGTCGTGGTACAATATTAGACTCCACCAAACCATCCCCATGCTTTGCTTGTCCAAGCTGCAGCCAACCCCGAAGATGCATTCATAAATTGTGTATTTCAGAATTGGTACGGTATTTTATTAGATATTTTGTAAATTAATTTAATTATACAGTACAGTACATTAGAATTTTGTGTATACAGTACTTTTAATGTTTAGCTTTAATTTGTTATTAATTCCAACATTTGTATTATTCAAACGTTGGTTTGTTTTTAGTCTTATTAATACAAATTCTCCCCCTCCCCTCCCCTCCCTCCTTATATAGGTAAAGTGTTAAGTTTTGTGGGCAATTATTCATGTTTGCAGTACATGGGGTGAAGCATTTAGTCATGTAATTTGAACAGGAAATGAGCAAAGCATTGTTTGAGAAGTTTTAAAGTCACAAGTTGTAAGTCATCTACTTGAAATTTACCTAAGGGCCACTAACTCTAGTGGCTTCGACAAGGACAGGAAGCTGGTGGCTTATCGAAGGTCCCCCCTATTTGCCTTGAAAATGGCAAATCTGTGATGTGTTTTTCATTCATAAACAGGGAAGCTGGTGGCTAGATTAGGCCAATGTTTATGGGGCCAGGCTGTTCTCTTAAGGATACCCACTCAAGGTGGTGTGAGGAAAGAATAGATGTTACAATAGCTGTAACTATATGCATAACGGTCAAGAAAAGATGAACACAGTGGAAAACAAGATTGATTAAACATAGGGAAAGTAAAACAAGGTAAACATTAAATTAATATATATTATAAAATAAGCTAGGGACTTCATATGAGATCATCTACAGACTAGGAAGTTAAAAAAATAGCATTATCAAATCTCATCATAATATTTTCGTTTAATATTTGGCCTATATTTGAAACATGATTACAGTGTAAACTGTATAATATTCCATAGCTAGTTTTATTATAAAAAAATTTCACAAATTTCATAAAATACAGTACATATATATGATTATATTCTATCACTGCTTGTTTATTAATGTTAAAGCAAATTTTATGAGTTCTTACATTTTACAATATTATACAACAAATAATCTGTTGTAAATAGTACCCAGTAATTGCTCCACCATGCCGTTGCATCCACTGGTAAACTTCTGCACCGTATTCCTGTGGTCATGAAAAGTAGTCTTGTTATAAGATATAACTGAAAAATGATTTAAACTAAATATAAAATTAAACTTTAGATAGATTTAAATATCTATCTAAATGAACTGTCGTATACATCAAGTATAAATCCAGTTACCGTTTTCTTGCAAACCATTGCCTCCCAGCCTCATTCCCCGTACCATATTGCATCTATTGTCTGCACTCACTGCCTGCTCTTCCAAGACTTCCTGTACACCAGTGTACTATCATCCATTTCTTCAACATACTAAACCTGTCTCGATATGTTCTCAATTTTGCTGCTTACTTTTGCACTCTACATACCTACATAACACCACAAAATCCAATTATGTTCACATTAACATCTTGTACTGTTGAGGGCCGAATTGTGGCTCCTTGAAACTATCTCATTAAAATAGCTCCAAACACGAGTCATATCAGTCCTATTTCCCTAGCCTAGCCACCCTACTTTCTTCCCTCACGGAGGTGCAAAGAACAGGGGATTCCTATGATCTCCGTCGCTGCAATCCGTCATTAGATGAAGTCCATTCTATCCAGGGGTCGACCCCCAAAGACACATTTATACGTTTTAACATTCTGTTCATTCAAAACAGGAATTTTCTCAATTACAAATTAATATTATATATTAGCATGTTGTGCATATATAGGCATAGGTTACGTGTTTAGGTTCTGTTGACGATTATTTGTATTTGTACAACCCGTCCTCGACTCAAGTCCATTACATTCAGCGGTCAACCCCACAGACGCATTCATATATTTTAACATGCTGTTCATTCAAAACGGGAATTTTCTCAAGTATAAATTAATATTATAATAGCATATTGTGTATAAATAGGCATAGGTTAGGTTAGGTTAGGTGTTTAGGTTCTGTTGGTGATTATTCGTATTTGTAGTACGTGGGTGAAGCATTTACAGCGTTGTGGTTCGAACAAAATTCGTCAGTGAAGCACTTGTTCCGGATATGTTCGAACGTCAGCAGTTGTGAGTCGTGTGTAAACCGCTTTTCATTCATAAACACGGTTTGGCGGGTGCATGGAATCACTTTTGGGTCTTTGTTTGGAGGATGGGCTGATTTGTAGTACAGTGGTACCTCGGAATGCGAGTGTCCCTGTATGCGAGTTTTTCGGAAGACGAGCAGGATTTACTCCAAAAATATGTCTCAGAAGGCGAGGGTTACCTCGGGACGCGAGTTTGTTGATACGTGTATAGGCCGACTAGCGTGTGGTGGCATGGCGATCGCGCCTCAGTTTACCAGTGTCTCGTGTCCAGTGACTATCCCACCTGAATTCTTCACAAGGATTTACAGTTTTTTATCGTTTTTTTGGCCATTTGAGTATAAAAGTTGTCATTATATATCTTGCCATGGGTCTCAAGAAAGCCATTGGTAAGGTTCAACCTAAGAAAATAGCTGTGAGTAGAGGCAGTAGAGGATGTCCCTTCTTGATTAAGAAAATGTGTGAAGTATGGGAAGAACTGCAAAGTTTTGTTGAAAAAACTCACCCAGATAAAGCTGTAGTAGGCCGTTGCATTGACCTTTTAAATGATAATGTGATTTCTTACTACAGACAAGTGCTAAAATGTAGGGAAAAACAAGTGTCATTAGACAAATTCTTAGTAAAACAAGCAAGTCCTAGTGGTATGCAGGCAAAATGTGCCAGAGTGTGCATACCAGTGAAGTCCTCACTGCCTGATGTGATAATGGAAGGGGACTCCCCTTCCAAACAGTAACTCCTCTCTTCCTCCCACCTCCTCACCATCTTCCATACGCCTACAGCATTCAACAGCAAGGTAAGTAATAACTTGAACATAGTTTTGTAGGTTTATTTAGATGAATTAGGTATAAAAATTTAGTTTGATGTGGGGTTTTTGGGGTAGTCAGGAACGGATTAATTCATTTCCCTTTATTTCTTATGGGGAAATTAGCTTCGGAATGCGAGTTTTCGGAATACGAGGCGTCTCCAGGAACCAATTAAACTCTTAAACTGAGGTATGCCTGTACGTGGGTGAAGCATTTACAGCGTTGTGGTTCGAACAAAATTCGTCAGTGAAGCACTTGTTCCGGAAGTGTTCGAACGTCATCAATTGTGAGTCGTGTGTAAACCGTTTTTCATTCATAAACAGCTGGAGTTTGGCGGGTGCATGGAATCACTTTTGGGCTCGGGACTGAACCCCAAAATTCATTTACAGTTTTGATGAGCTACTTACAAAATTTAATGACACTATGCAGACGAGGAGTCACAATAACGTGGCTGAAATATGTAGACCAAACTATACACTAGAAAGAAGAGACGACCACGTTTCGGTCCGTCCTGGACCATTCTCACAATTGGCTTGAGAATGGTCCAGGACGGACCGAAACGTCTTCGTCTCTTCACTTTCTAGTGTATGGTTTGGTGTACTTAATGACACTATCCCTCCACATATGTCAGTTGTTTAAATTAGAGACTGTACTTGTGATCGGTCTCGATCCCATTGTTGATGTGACGATGTGCATTGAATTTTGTAACTAGCTCATCAAGAATTTAACTTGCTTAGCTAAATGAATTGTGGGGTTCAGTCCCTGAACCCATTATGTCCCAATATGTGCCTCTGTAACCCTTTCCACTTCCGCCCACACGATGGGTATTTACCTGAATTTACTTGAGGGCCACTAATACTAGTGGCCTCGACGAGGACAGGAAGATGGCGGCATATCATAGGTCCCCCCCCCCTCCCATTTGCCCCGATTATCTTTTCTATCTGTATCTTAAAACCCAGCAGAGTTTTGGCGTTTACAGCTTCGGCGGGAAGGCGGTTCCACGAGTTTACAATCCTATGGGTGAAAAAGTATCTAGTGTTTTCAGTCCTACTTTGTGGCTTGTTGAGCTTGAACCCGTTGCTCCTCGACGTTCGTGTTACATCTGACCTTTTGAATAAATTGTCCGATGGACATCGTCCAAATTGTTTAGTATTTTTAAGGTTTTTATTATATCTGCCCTGTCATGCCTTGTGTGCAGTGTTGTTAGCCCAGTGGCCCCCAGTGGCCCCCAGTGGCCCTCAACCGTTCCTGATACGAGAGATTACTAAGCTCTGGTATGATTTTTGTTCCCTGGTGTTGCACCTTCTCCAGAGCAGCTATGTCTTTTTGGAGATGAGGTCTCCATGCCTGGATGCAATAATCCGGGGGTATGGGATGCATAATAAATGAACTAAACTAAACTGATCCATAGATGTGTGGCTCTTCTTGCATGATAGTATGACGATGGAATTACTAGTGTAGATTCACTTTGCCTCAGATCTACACAGTTTCGTTGAAGTTCTTGGTGTATTATTGCTCTCAGACTGCTTGTAGGCAATCCCAAGGTTATAATCAACTCATTTGAAGGCAGATTCTTTGGCTAACTCGGTGTGATCACACTTTCATCACTTAACACCAACGCGAGATCAGGCAAACCTTCAGATATTTTTGTTCTCTGCTCACGTACTTAAGCATACTTCTCTCAACAAGCACATAATGGAATAATATTTTTTTATTAATTTATGTATTTATTATTAGTTTAGTAATACCATGTATATCGGAAATTCTAGGTTCGAATCTCGGGCAAGACAGAAATACCGGGCGTGTTTCCTTATCACCTAATGTGTCTATTCACCTAGCAGTAAATGAGTACCCAGGAGTTAGTCAGCTTGTTCTGGAGTTCCATCATGGGGGAGGGTCAGTAATTTAACCTTGTTTGGGGGTGGGGACCCTCGATAAGCCTAACATGCATATATGTACTGGCTGCCTGTCTCCCGACACAATGAATAATTATTATGAATTATGAATATCCTTATGTTTAAAATATGTATTGGCAATACGTAGCTGTCAATACATAAATCTGTCAGTCTACAACTGTTGACGTTTATTCCTAGGATGCCATTACAACACATTGTCATTATCAGCACCTTTTCCAACTTAACCATTTAGATCATCCATTACAATTGTTCTGTAGCTTCAGCTTTCAAACATGCCTTAATGGCTGAATATCTATGTTAGTAAAGAAATCAGAGTTGTCATTAACCAAACGTTTAATAAATAATTGTAAATTTATTTTTACAATTATAAATAGTAATAAATAGGGAAGTAATTGCAGTACTGGGTTACCTGTGAGATGTCCTCATCCCAACGTCCCTCTTACTCCATCCTCTCGTCTCTTCTGTGGGAATTAAATACAATATTATTATCTTTTATAAAAATTCATCTAAATTATTTATTATTTTCCATAGATGATATAGGTATCCGAGAGCATCATTATTTATGATGAGTGAAGTTAGGTTGGGGTGCACTGACCTGGTCCAGTTCATCCTTCGTGAGGTCCTCGATGCAGCGGATGTCGTCTATGGTCAGCCCATACCATTTGTCCAGCCAACAGAACGTTTGTCTGTTCACACACAAACACCAAAGTATTATCAAACTTATAACCCTCACTCTTTGTGAGTTAAATATGTGTCCTGAAACACACATACACACACTCCTATCATTTGACAAGCGTGGTAGTCAAAACACTAAAACAAATAATTACAACCAAATGGGTAGAATATCTGGAAAGAAATGACAATAACAGACAGTATGGCTTTTACACACGAAGATCCTGTATATTAAATATACTTAGTTTTTATGATACGATCACAGATTTTACAGGAAAGAGACGGTTGGGTTGATGTTCATGGATATCAGGACTTAACTGTTGATGGATGGATATCAGGACAAAAAAAAAGGCTTTTGACAGTCCTACACAAGAGGTTATTCTAGAAGCAGGAACATGCTGAAGGGGTAACGGGAAGACTGCTTGCACCGATGAAACATTTTCTGACAGAAAAATGAGGATGGTAATCAGAGGCAATGTATTAGACTGGAGAAATGTTACTAGTGGAGTACCACAGTTCAGTTCTAGCACCAGTAATGTCCATTGTCGACATGACTCGGGTAAATTCAGGTAAATATAAGCGATCTACCATAGGAAATTATATGAACAATTTTGGTGATGATGCTAAGCTACTATGGAAGATTAGAGACTTAGATGGTTATCATGTCCCCGTGGCGCAGTGGTATGACACTCGCCTGGGGATTCGCGAGCGCTTTGGCCTGGGTTTGTATTTTGGCCGGGGAGGATTGACTGGGCGCCAATCCTTAACTGTAGCCTCTGTTTATCCGACAGTAAAATGGGTACCTGGTTACTAAACAATTTGGCGGGTCGTATTCCGGGATCATAGGATTAAGGACTTGCCCGGAACGCTATGCGAGCTAGTGGCTGTACAATAATGTAAGAACTCTTGTTTAAATAAAAATAAATAAAAAATGTCTTCCAGGATGACCAGGACAAAACAAATATATGAAGCAACAATTGGCAGATAGGAATTCAACGTGAATAAATGCCACGTTATGGAGTGTAGAGTAGGAGAAAATAGACCACACACACAATCTATAAATTAGGTAAAAAGGCATAAAAAAACTCTGTCAAAGAAAGAGAGCTTGGAGTGATTCCGGATAATAAACTGTCACCAGAGGATACTCGGAGGACACCATATATACAGTACTACATCACCGAAGTACTGTGCCCGAGTAGCTAGCTGGTTACCGTTTCCAAAAATGTAAGGAAAGGGAGGATATATTTTTTAGCAAAGCCATGTTGTCGATTTTACAAGATCGTTCTCTGTGAGAAGGTGAATGGTTCCTTCCCTTTGGATTCTCTCCGTGAGCTTGCAGATTTGTGATGTCAAACCGATAGGACGGTAGTTTTCTGCTGAACTCTTTCTGTCTTTTTTTTTAAACACGGGTGATATTTGCATACACCCAATCTGTGGGGACTATCCCATGGTCTAGAGATTTTCTAAAAGCACTTTTAGAGGTAGGCATAGCTCCTCTGCTAGTGCTTTTATGACTTTAGAATTTGGATTGAATTTCATCCACACCGGGGTTTTTAGTTTTATTTTGCCAATGCTCTTCTTGATTGTGTTGCACGTTATGGTATATCTTTTAATTCATTTTCATCACCTTCAAATATTTGTGTGGGTGATGGGATGTCTACTCTTTATAGCGCGAACACTGATGTAAAGTATTCATTCCGAGTGCTGGCTGCCCTCTCATCATCAATTATAACTTGTTTAGTCTAGTCTTTTAAGGGTCCTACTAAGTCTTTTGTTTAGGTTTTACTTCCTATTAAGGCAAAGAAAGACTTTGGATCATACTTTACGTTTTGAGCAAGCTTGATTGGAAAAATGAAATTTCCCCCCCCCCCCATTTTCAAAAATGGCAGAAAGAGCTCATCAGAAAACTACCGTCCGATCAGCTTGACATCACACATCTACAAGCTCATGGAGAGAATCCTAAGGGAGGGAGTCATTCACCATCTTTTAATGAACACTTGTAAAATCGACACAACATGGGTTTGTTAAAAATAGAACAAAAATAAACCTGCTCACATTTTTGGAAACGGTAACCAGCTACTCAGACAAAGGACGTCCGGTAGATGTAGTTAGTATACATAGATTTTGCTAAAGCATTTGATAAGGTACCACGTGAAAGACTGGCAAGGAAATTACAGGCACATGGAATAAATGGAAGACTACTAGAATGAATAAAAAGTGTTAAAACAAAGAAAACAAAGTGTCGTGCTAAGTGGGCATGAATTTGACTGGAGAAATGAGATAAGTGGGGTACCGCAAGGGTCCATTTTAGGCCCAACACTTTTTGTCATATAGATCAATGACATTGATGAGAATATTACAAACCACATCATCAAATTTGCAGATGACACAAAGATTTATGGTAAAGCGAGAAATTATAATTTACCTGAGGGACACTAATACTAGTGGCCTCGACGAGGACAGGAAGCCAGCGGCTTGTCAAAGGTCCCCCCCCTCCCATTTGGCCTGATGATTGTTTCCAGTTGTATTTTAAAATCCAACAGTTTTGGCATTTACGGCTTCAGCGGGTAGGCCGTTCTATGGATTTGTAACCCTATGGGTGAAAAAACATCTGTTCTCAGTCCTACATTGTGCCTTGTTTAACTTGAACCTGTTGCTCCTTGTTTGTGTTATATCTGACCTTTGACAAATTTGTCCGGATTAACATCCTCCAAATTGTTCAGTATTTTAAAGGTTTCAATGAGATCCGCCCTGTCAAGCCTGTTTGCAGTGTTGTTAGCCAAGTGGCCCTCAACCGTTCCTGAAACGTGAGATGACTAAGCTCTGGAATGATTTTAGTTGCCTGGTGTTGCACCTTCTCCAGAGCAGCTGTGTCTTTCTGAAGATGAGGTCTGATGTTAGCACAAGATCTAGCATGCTGTTCCCTCGGGTGGGCTCTGTCACATGCTGTATGAGAAATGAGTTCTGCAACAGGCCTGTAGGCCGCATATGTGAGACCAGTACTGAAGTATGTAGCTCCAACATGGAAATTATAAAGTGAACACAAACAAGTAAAATAGTGTCCAGGGTTGTGTTGCCAAAGGTTGTCCACGAAACATGGCCCTGAAATATGGTTAAGTTAAAGAAATATGGCTAGTTAAAGAACTAAATATCGCAGTGATAGAAAAACGAAGATGCAGTAGGAACATGCTCACAACATACAAGATAGAGACATTTACATTGGATAAATACTAAGATGGGTGCGACCAGGAAGAGGGAAGAAATGTATGCTGAACACCTAAATATGTCAGAAATACTGTATAAGAATTTCCTCAGCATTAGGCCAATAAGTAGAAATAAAGTAGTGATGGTTATATCCATGCACGAATTTAGATGTAAATACTCTAAAAATAAAGAGGTCGAGGAAGGAATCACAGAGATCTATTTATGTTTTAGAGGCGGGGTCCAGGAGCCGGAACTCTGTCCCTACAAACAGAGCTAGATAAGTACACACTACACTCCTCAGTCCTCACCTGTGGAAGTTGGTGATGATGCGACGTTCAAAGTCCTGAATGTAGCGCTCCACTCTCGCCTGAAGCCCAAACCATTTGAATTCACAAGACACCAGCTTGTAGCATGTCATCACTGGCTCGCTCTGTGGCCGCATAATACATGCAGAAAGAATTAAGACCACGAAGAGCAGGCAATGTAGCGAGGATAAAAGTGTATTTACCTGAATTTACCCGAGGGGCCACCATCTCTAATGGCCCTGACGGGGACAAGAAGCCGGTGGCTTGTGATAGCTTCCGCCCCCCTCATTATCCCTGAGGATTATCCTTGATAATGAACTCAGGAGAGTGCGAAAGTCTTCATGTATTTAAATATTTATATAAAATGCATAAATACATAAGTGTGGGTTTTTTATCCACATGTTTAAGTGTAATAATAAAACAAATTTTCGGATGAAGCCTACATTGTTTATCAACAGTGTTTCTGAACAAATGTTTTAGATTATGCGTTTATGTCTGACAGAGCGCCTTAAGTGGCGTCCATCACTCAGCCCGTCCTCCTAAAGTTTCCAAACCTCAAGAAAACGGTCAAATTATAGTGTCGTCTCCTAACCTACCAGAGAACCCAAAACAGAAAACGGGACAGTGCGTCACTTTCGCCAGCCGCTTTCATTTTCTAGTACGACAATTTTTGGCCTTATGTAACGCATACGATTGAAACGCGATGTTCTCTGTAAGAGGACACGTTGTATCACTGGGCGCCATGATTATTCTCCCAGGGATTCCCCAAGAGATACCTGAGCTGCTGCTGATTGATAAATCAACCCGGCCTCTCGAGCCTTCACAACGTCACTAAAATGATGTATTAAATTGCTCAAGCCCAACCAAGGACCTGCGAAGAGAAAAATGGGACATAGTCAATTTTACGAACTACTATGATATTTAGCACACCATTTTATGCCCTTTAGAGATATATTCTTGAAAATGCGGTGTACTATTCGAGAGGCCGGGTTTGATAAATAAAATAATAATAATAATTTATTTAGACTATTTTATTCAGTACATACTACCCAAAATTATCTACGACCCACCGACAGGGTCGTCTACGACTATGTCGTAGACGACCATGAGTCGTCATGAGGCATGAGTTCCTAGTAAGAGGCAAGAGTTCCTAGTAACTCATGCCTTCTTAGTTCTGGGACTAGGCTAGTGGCATACCTTTGAACTTTTCCAGCTTCGTCTTGTGCTTGACAAGGTACGGGCTCCATGCTGGGGCCACATACTCCAGAATTGGTCTTACATATGTGGTATACAAGGTTCTGAAGTATTCCTTACACAGGTTCCTGAACGCTGTTCTGATGTTAGTCAGCCTCGCGTATGCCGCAGATGTAATTCTTTTTATGTGGGCTTCAGAAGGTAGGTTTGGTGTGATATCAACGCCTAGATCTTTCTCTCTGTCCGTTTCCATGAAGTACTTCATCTCCCATTCTGTATCCTGTGTCTGGCCCCCTATTTCCACCATCTAGATTCATTACCATACATTTAGTCGGGTTGAACTTTAGTAGCCATTTGTTGGACCATTCCTTCAGCTTGTCTAGGTCATCATACTATCTTCCTCTGTCTCAATCCTCCTCATAATTTTTGCATCATCACCAAACATTTAAGAGGAACGACTCTATTCCCTCTGGGAGATCATTTACATATATTAGAAACAGTATAGGTCCAAAGACTGATCCCTGTGGGACTCAACTGGTGACGCCTCGCCACTCCGAGACCTCACCCCTCACAGTGACTGGCTGTCTTCTGTTGCTTAGGTACCCCCCTTATCCAGTGGAGTACCTTCCCTTTCACTCCTGCCTGCATCTCCAGCTTGTGCACTAGTCTGTTCTGTGGTACTGTGTCAAAGGCTTTCTGGCAGTCCAAAAATATGCAGTCTGCACAGCCCTTTCTTTCTTGCCCTATTTTTGTTGCTTGATCATAGAATTCAATTAATCCTGTTAGGCATGATTTGCAATCCCTGAACCCATGCTGATGTTGTGTTACAAAGTTCTTTTGCTCCAGATGTTCCACTAGCTTTGTTCACACAATCTTCTCCATCAGCTTGCATGGTATGCACGTTAGGAACACTGGCCTGTAGGTCAGTGCCTCCTGTCATCACCCATCTTGAATATCGGGACTACGTTAGCCGTCTTCCAAAATTTTGGCAGTTCACTTGTTACCAGTGATTTGTTGTACACCATGGAGAGTGGCAGGCACAGAGCTTTTGCTCCTTCCTTCAGTATCCATGGTGAGATTCCATCCGGGTCTCTGGCCTTTGTCACATCCTTATTTAGAAAAAGTGTGTGTGTGTGAGAAAGAGAGAAAGCAAGCAGGAACACGCAAGCCATATATATATATATATATATATATATATATATATATATATATATATATATATATATATATATATATATATATATATATATATATGTCGTACCTAGTAGCCAGAACGCACTTCTCAGCCTACTATGCAAGGCTAAATTTGCCTAATAAGCCAAGTTTTTCTGAATTAATATATTTTCTATAATTTTTTTCTTATGAAATGATAAAGCTACCCATTTCATTATGTATGAGGTCAATGTTTTTTATTGGAGTTAAAATTAACGTAGATATATGACCGAACCTAACCAACCCTACCTAACCTAACCTAACCTATCTTTATAGGTTAGGTTAGGTTAGGTAGTAGAGAAAGTTAGGTTAGGTTAGGTAGGTTAGGTAGTCGAAAAACAATTAATTCATGAAAACTTGGCTTATTAGGCAAATCGGGCCTTGCATAGTAGGCTGAGAAGTGAGTTCTGGCTACTAGGTACGATATATATATATATATATATATATATATATATATATATATATATATATATATATATATATATATATATATATAATATATATATATATATATATATATATATATATATATATATATATATATATATATATATATATATATATATATATATATATATATATATATATATATATATATATATATATATATATATATATATATATATATATATATATATATATATATATATATATATATATATATATATATATATATATATATATATATATATATATATATATATATATATATATATATATATATATATATATATATATATATATATATATATATATATATATATATATATATATATATATATATATATATATATATATATATATATATATATATATATATATATATATATATATATATATACACACTTAACAAAAGAATAGGGGTGGTAGGAGAAGAAAATATCAAAGTGTTCAGTGAGGATCCACAAGGTCTTCTCTGAGTACTCTTTATTTTCTTCTCCGAGGCTATGGGTCCCTACATTTGCACCAGAGGTGGTACCCCTTCTAGGTAAAATATATATATATATATATATATATATATATATATATATATATATATATATGCAAAAGCAACTATGTCTTTCTGAAGATGAGGTCTCCATGCTTGGATACAATGATCCAGGTGGAGGCGCCCCAGAGATTTATACAACAATCACTACCTTCTTTTGCTTAAAGTCAAAGACACGTTTGATTATTCCTAGGGGTTTGGTTGGCTTTTTTTTACTGTCGATTCCAAATGTTGTGCAACTTTCAATGAATAATAGATTCTGACTCCAAGATCCTATCTATAGTTCCCAAAGACTGATCTATATTACTCTCGCCATAGGCTGAATTTTAGTACCCTCTCCATAGATTGAACTATACCTCCCTCTCCATAGACTAAATTATAGTACACTACCCATAGACTGAACACTAGTACCCATTCCTTAGGCTGGATTATAGTAGCCTTACCATAGAATGAACCCCCTCAATAGACTGATCAATTAACAACTCATCACTAACCTGTAGCCACCAGTGTGGAGTTCGGAGAGGTCCTCGACCAGTCTTAATTGAAACGTATTTGGTGGGGTCCTCGTCGGGATTATAGTCAGCAGAGGAGACAGGGTCATTGGCTATGTCCACCATCACTACTTCCACTTTCTGCCACTTCTTCCTCGCTAGTCTGTGAATCTGTTTTCAACATGGATCAAACAAGGCAACATGCAGATAATAAAGGAAAGAACACATTTTGTGGGCATGTAGAGTGTTTTTATCATGTTTAATTGAGTATGGAGTGTTCAATAAACTATCACTCACAGGATGAGTGTGGGATACACTATAACCTCTCTGCCATAGGCAGTTAGCTTATAGTGCCCGAAATCACTCCTAAATTAGTAATGTACAATACGTCGAAATCATGAGACATTGGTGGAATGTTATTTACTGTATGAGGTACTCCACTACCTTCAACACACGGGAGGAATGTTGCATATTGGACCAGGTACTTCACAACCTTCAACACACGGGAGGAATGTTGCATATTGGACCAGGTACTTCACAACCTTCAACACACGTGAGGAATGTTGCATATTGGACCAGGTACTTCACAACCTTCAACACACGGGAGGAATGTTGCATATTGGACCAGGTACTTCACAACCTTCAACACACGGGAGGAATGTTGCATATTGGACCAGGTACTTCACAACCTTCAACACACGGGAGGAATGTTGCATATTGGACCAGGTACTTCACAACCTTCAACACACGGGAGGAATGTTGCATATTGGACCAGGTACTTCACTACCTTCAACACAAAACACACATCACAGGTCACTCACATTTTCCGTGTTGCCTCTGTCCGCCGCGTGTATGGTCTCCACGCTGATGAGAAAGTCGTCCTTCATGTAGGGGTTCTGAAAGTCACCACAACTATTACTAGAGCCAGTCTCCTCCCCCCTCCTTACACACTATCACCCGCTGCCTCTCACACACACACACACACACACATATGATAGAGCCCAGTAGGCTCAGGAACCTGTACACCTGTTGATTGACGGTTGAGAGGCGGGACCAAAGAGCCAGAGCTCAACCCCCGCAAGCACAATTAGGTGAGTTCACACAAACACACACACACACACACACACACACACACACACACACACACACACACACACACACACACACACACACACACACACACATATTAGTGTGTGTATTTGTTGGAATAGGAGAACATAGGCCCCACACAACCTATAAATTATATGAGAAATCTTTACAGAATTCTGATAAAGAAAGATATCTTGGTTCTAGATAGTTCTAGGTGGTTCTAGATAGAAAACTATCACCTGAGGACAACATAAAGAACGTTGTGCGAGGAGCCTATGTTACACTTTCTAACTTCAGAATTGCTTTTAAATACATGAATGGCGAAATACTAAAGAAATTGTTCACGATTTTTGTTAGGCCAAAGCTGGAATATGCAGCAGTTGTGTGGTGCCCATATCTTAAGAAGCACATCAATAAACTGGAAAAGGTGCAAAGACATGCTACTAAGTGGCTCCCAGAACTGAAGAGCAAGAGCTACGAGGAGAGGTTAGAGGCATTAAATATGTCAAAATTAGAAGACAAGAAAAAGAGGTGATATGATCACTACGTACAATATAGTAACAGGAATTGACATAATTGATAGGGAAGATTTCCTGAGACCTGGAACTTTTTTTTTTTGGGGGGGGGGGATATATACAAGAGTTGTTACATTCTTGTACAGCCACTAGTTCGCGAAGCGTTTCGGGCAAGTTCTTAATCCTATGGTCCCTGGAATACGACCCCCGCGAAGAATCGTTTTTACAGCCAAGTACCCATTTTACTGTTGAGTTAAACAGAGGCTACAGCTAAGGATTTGCGCCCAGTAAATCCTCCCCGGCCAGGATACTCTCCCATGACAAAGCGCTCGCGGGACGCCATGCGAGTGTCTCACCACTACACCACGGAGACGGAGACTTCAAGAACAAGAGGTCATATATTTAAACTAGCTAAACAAAGATACCGAAGAAATATAAGAAAATTCATTTTCGCAAACAGAGTGGTAGACGGTTGGAACAAGTTAATTAAGTGAGAAGGTGGTGGAGGCCAAAACCTTCATTAGTTTCAAAGCTTTATATGACAAAGAGTGCTGGGTAGACGGGACACCACGAGCGTAGCTCTCATCCTGTAACTACACTTAGGTAATTACACTTATTTATTTATTTATATACAAGAAGGTACATTGGGATTGTGAGGATACATAGCATAGTAATTACATTCCTGTAAAGCCACTAGTATGCGCAGCGTTTCGGGCAGGTCCTTAATCTAACAAAATTTTAAGTAGGTAAATACTAGCAAAATTTATAAAAATGATAACAGGTACATTGCAAGAAAAAAATAAAAGATGAGAGAAATTTGTAGGTATATTAAAGCACATAGGTAGCTCAGATTGATTGCAATGACAGCTTGAATGGTAGTTTAACAAAAATTAATAGGCATAATACAGCATATAGCTAGCAAATAAAAGACAGCAATGAACGCAATGATAAAGTTGTTTGGATTAAGTACATAAAGATTGGGAGATTGGTTAACACTAGATACTGAGCAAATTTAAAGAACAGTGTAAGAAACTATGAAGAAGAAATTAGGTATTATTTGGTTTTGTTTTTTGAATGAGCCAAAAGTTGGACAGCTTTTCAATTCATTAGGGAGTGAGTTCCATAGACTAGGTCCCTTTATTTGCATGAGTGTTTACACGGATTAAGTTTGACCCTGGAGATATCAAAGATATTTATTTCTGGTGTGGTGATAATGGGTCCTATTACATCTGTCCAGGGAGAGTTTCAGAGCATGGTTTGCATTTAAGAACAGGGTTTTGTAAATGTAGTCGACACAAGCGAATGTGTGGACGGAGTTAATATTTAGCATGTTAAGGGATTTAAACAAGGGGGGGGCTGAGTGTTGTCTGAAAGCAGAGTTTGTTATTATTCTGATAGTAGATTTTTGCTGGGTGATGATGGGCTTGAGGTGGTTTGCAGTGGTTGACCCCCATGCACAGATACCATAATTAAGATAGGGGGATAGATTAGTGCATAATATAGTGAGAGGAGAGCAGAGTTAGAAACATAATATCTGATCTGGGAGAGTATACCAACTGTTTTAGAAACTTTCTTAGTTATGTGTTGAATGTGGGTGCTGAAGTTGAGTCTCTTGTCTAGGAATAGGCCAAGAAACTTTCCATCATTTTTATTACTGATGTTAATGTTGTCTATCTGTAGTTGAATTGCATTCGATGATTTGCTTCCAAATAAGATGTAGTAGGTATTTTCTATGTTTAGTGTTAGTTTGTTAGTTGACATTCATAAGTGGACTTTTTTTTAATCATTATTCACAACATTATTTAGTGTGTGTGTGTGGGTTGGAGTCTGAATAGATGAGGGTAGTATCGTCAGCAAACAATATAGGTTTAAGAATATTAGAGACATTAGGCAGATCATTGATATATATAAGAAATAGAAGAGAGCCCAAAATACTGCCCTGTGGTACTCCAACGGTTATTGGTTGATTGGGAGAGGTTATATCATTGATGGCTACACATTGGTGTCTGTCATTAAGATAGGATCGGATATAGTCCAGGGCAAGGCCTCGGAGTCCATAATGCTGGAGTTTAAGTAAGACGTAGTAGTGATTAACATTATCAAGGCTTTTTTTAGGTCAATGAAGAGTCCAATCGAAAATTAATTTTTGTCAAGGGTTGATTAGATTACATCAAGGAGACTAATAATTGCATCATTGGTGCTCTTTTGGGACCGGAAGCTAAACTGGCAGGGGCTGAGTATGTCGAATTTTACGAGGTAAGAATAGAGCTGTTTGTAGATAATTTTTTCAAATATTTTTGATAGAATGGGTAGGTTTGATATTGGTCTATAATTGTTAATGTCCGCCGGATTGCTTCCTTTATGAACTGACGTTACTCTTGCTTATTTAAGGATATCAGGGAAGATATGACACTATGGATTTGTTGAACAGCAGAGCTATAGGTGGCGCAAGGGCATGGGAAGCGCTCTTGTATACAATGGACGGAATTTCACTGATGTTCCCTGCCTTGGTTTTTAGTGAGTGTGTGATGGACACAACATCTGCCGGGCTGACAGATGTTGTGAGAACGTGTTGTGTTGTGAGAAAGGAGAAGAGAGTTTGGATAGCTGCCTGAGAGATATGTGTTGACATGTGTCTGAGTCTGAGGGATTTTTCTGGCAAGGTTAGCACCAACCGATGAAAAGAAGCTATTAAATTCATTTGCCATTTCTAAATCAGTTGACGGAGTATAGCCATCCTTAAAGAGTTTTATCTGGTTGTGGGAGTGTTGTTTAGTTCCTAGGATATTAGAGATGGTATTCTATGTGCTTCTCATGCTGCCTTTTGCTTCTTTGAATCTATTCTCGTAATATGAAAGTTTAGCTTTTCTTATGATATTGGTAAGCACCGATGAGTACCTTTTAACTACTTCCTTTGTAACTAGGCCAATCCTAAATTTCTTTTCATATTCATGCTTTTTGTTGATTGATTTAATCATGCCACTTGTGAGTCACGGATTGTTTATTCTTTTGTCAGTTACTTGTTTGGTAAGGAGGGGACAGTGAGTGTTGTAGAGGCTTAGAGTTTTGGAGAGAAAGAGGTTAGCTAATGAGTTTATATCCTGTGTATTATTGAATTCAGATTCCCAGTTAATATTGTGAAGTGCATTTGAGAGGTTTCCTATATAGCTGATTCACTGTGTAGCCTGAATGTGAGTTTCTTGCTATCCGGTGGTATTATGTCCATGTTCGCTATGAGGAAGGGGGGGATAGTGGTCAGATGTTCTGTCATAGATTATACCAGATGTAAGGGAAGCTGTTATATTAGTCCATAAGTGATCCAAGATAGTGGCAGATGTTTGAGTGACTCGGGTGGGCTTGGTGATTGTGGGGATTAGCATACAGGAGTTCATGCTTTTACGGAAATAGTCAAATTGAGGGTTGTTTTGTAGACCCAGGTCAATATTGAAATTACCTCCTACAATGAAGTGATTTTTGTTGAGCTTGTTATTTATGATAAGATTCCTTAGGTTATCTGAGAATGAAGCTTTATTGGTATTGGGAAATCTATAGATGGCACCGATAGTCAAAGAGGATTTAAGGGATTTAAAATTCACAATAGTCGTCTCTATCACTAATGACACTATTGCAGATGAAGATATCTTTGTAATATATTGCTGTGCCACCTCCTTATATATATATATATATATATATATATATATATATATATATATATATATATATATATATATAGATAGATAGATAGATAGATAGATAGATAGATAGATAGATAGGCGCCAGATAGGAAAAAATCCTCAGGAACTACAGGAGGACCTCTTCACCAGCTGCCGGCTTCCTGTCCTCGACGAGGCCACTAGGGAGCTATAGGGGCCCTCGGGTAAATTCAGGCAAGATAAATATATCTTAAAAAGGACGAAATGCTAATTTCAAGAATTTAATGTTTTTTTCAAAGCAATTTGTAAATGATAGATTTGGCATAATATTGTTTTGAGACCCAAAATAATTGTAGTACCTTAGACTTCTAATGTACATTACATTCAAAATTAGGATAGATTATATTTGTAATTTAGAGATATTCTAATTAATATGTGTGTGAGAGTGTATGTGGTTGGGGGGGGAGGTGAGGGTAGGGGTAGTGTACAGAAGACTCACGCAGTAGAGGGTCTTGCTGTAAGGGTAGGCGTTCCAGGACTTCTCGTGCACTTCCAGCGCTCCCTCTGGCGCCAGTAGGCGGATGAAGGCCGGCACCTTCCTGCAACATAACACGCTCTACAACTCTCACTTTAATGACATGTTTCAAAGACAGCGAGAGCTTGTCATAACACCACATTCGCTAACTGCTCGCCGTGCGTTATACACACATATATAAGCGTACAAAACCCACCTTGCAGCCTGATGCGTCACACAAGGCTTCCGTAGACACAGTGGCCGGCCGGCAAATGTATCCTTACGTGACTGATGCATTCAGTTTGGGTGTTTTATCTAGGCTTTTTGTGTGGAATTTAATGTTGAAATACAGTAATTATAATGAACAATTGTGGATAAAAGTTTGTACTAGTGATGTACACTACTAGGGAGGACCTCGATATGGTTTAAAAGCTTCCTGACCGCGACTGGTATGGCATTATAATACCATATATGTAACTTCACACATACATGCAGTAGTCCAATAGGAAAATCAGTCTAGAAGCGAAATGTGGATACATTGCAAGAATTTATGGGATTATATCATTAATAATTATAGTGATGCGCCATTTCATGTAATGCTACATGAAATGTAACACTACAAAACTGTACATTTTGTCATCTATAGTTCCCGATACAAGCTGAACCTCTAGAGATTACGATCCCGGTTGAACACTCGGGTTCGTTCTCGACTCACAATCGAGATTTCCGGGTTCGAGTCCCGGGCGGGACAAATTGTTGGGCGCATTTCCTATCACCTAATGCACCTGTTCACCTAGCAGCACATAGGTACCCAGAAGTTAGTCAGCTTGTTGTGGGGTTGCATTCTAGGCGGGGTAAGTCATTCGACCTTGGGGAGGGGGGCTCGGTATCATCTTAACGTATATGAATACACTCTGGCTGTCTGTCCCCCGAAGTATCTTTTATTTCACACATTTCATTGCATAAACAAAAACATTTGCTAGTGTCGGTTTGCACTCTTTAAATTCATCTGATCTTCCTCGTCAAATGACAGATTTTAGGCTTCTTTTGATCTATAATTATTTTCAACTTTTTTTTTTACTGCAAGATTGGCAAGGGCTTAAACTTTACCATGTTAATATGCAGCCCATTGTGTTAGGGCATCTACAGAAATCTGACTCCAACACCAAATATTTTATATATATGGGATTGGAGTTATGGGGTTTATATATATATGCAGTATATAAAAATATAAACCCCTATATATATATATATATATATATATATATATATATATATATATATATATATATATATATATATATATATATATGTGTGTGTGTGTGTGTGTGTGTGTGTGTGTGTGTGTGTGTGTGTGTGTGTGTGTATGTATATATAATTAAGAACAAGTAATGAGACTTAGGAGCCGGAGATGATTAAGCAAAATATATATAGCAATGGTTTCAATAATTTTGTACTTTTTTATTTAATTTTCCAAGAATAGCTAACAGTTCAACTGGTACGTTAGAGGACCAATTATTGACTCTTACATTCCTCTCAGTTGTGTTGACGTTGGGCTGACATTCAGCAGGCTGACGGCCACAATTAAGGGGAACCAGCACAGGATATGATGAAACACTCTGGTGCATGCAACAAATATGTTTAGAGGTGGAAGGTAGATACATTCCCTACCAAATGTGCAGGCTCCCCAGGAACGAAGAGAGCGCCTGGTTAACACTTTCCTAGAGAAGCTGAAGCCATAACCAGGAAGGAGTATTTGAAAAACGGGTCAGAGGAAAATCTAGAAAGGAGTAAAAGACCAAATATATGAACAAATCCACAAGGGCCGTGACGAGGATTCGAACCTGCGTCCGGGAGCATCCCAGACACTGCCTTAATCGACTGAGCTACGACAGGCTACGACATAACATATGATTATGTAAGAATAAGAAGTGAAGCAGGAGAAAAATGCTATAATAACAGCCAACCAAGAAAGAACTAAATAAGAGTTGCTTTCAACACACTAACATATTTCTCTACATTTTTTCCAGAGCATCTTTGGGTGATGTTAGTAGAACTAGAGCTCAAAACTAGGTTAATGCTTTTTGTTATGCTGGTTGAAACAGCTGGACTTGATGCCGCAGGAAAAAAAGGAGCGAAGAGATATATCTATATCTATAAACGAGAATGTCTGTGTCTTAGATTGGAGGCCAGACGCTTGGGGCTAGCCTCGTCCAACTTTTCAAGATACGCAGGGTGTTATACAAGTGTCCTAAGCCAATCTGGATCGGCCCCAGTGCCACACCTTAAAAAAATTGGCATCTACAGCGACCCCTGTGATTTTCTTGAAATGTTAAATCAGGGATTTGTTCTCTGTGGAGATTTCAAAAAGATCTAGAAGTTGATATCACACCAAACCTGTCTCCTGAAGCCCACATGAAAAGAATATCATCGGCGGCGTATGCAAGGCTGGCTAACATCAGAACTGCCCTCAGGAACCTGTGCAAGGAATCATTCAAAACCTTGTATATCACATATATAAGACCAATCCTGGAGTATGTGGCCCCAGCATAGAGCCCATACCTTGAAGCACAAGACGAAGCTGGAAAAAGTTCATAGGTATACCACTAGGCTAGTCCCAGAACTAAGAGGCATGGGTTACGAGGAAAGGCTGCGTGAAATGCACCTCACGACACTGGAGGACAGAAGAGTAAGGGGGAGACATGATCACTACCTACAAAATTCTCAAAGGAAATGACAGGGTAGATAAGGAAGCTGTTTAACACGGGTGGTATGCGAACAAGGGGACACAGGTGGAAACTGAGTACTCAAATGAGCCACAGGGACGTTAGAAAGAACTTTTTCAGTGTCAGAGTAGTTAACAGATGGAATGCATTAGGCAGTGATGTAGTGGAAGCAGACTCCATACACGGTTTCAAATGTTGATATAATAGTCCAGTAGGCTCAGGAATCTGTACACCAGTTGATTGACAGTTGAGAGGCGGGACCAAAGAGTCAGAGCTCAACTCCCGCAAGCACAAATAGGTGAGTACACGCTTGTAGAGAGCTGAAAACAATACACCGTACTGCAGAAATTAGCACTTTTGATTTTTTTTCAATTGATATTATACATACAGTTATTAAATATAACTAAATATGAGATAGCGCCTTACTTCTTGAGGTGGAATATCTTGTATGTGTACTGACCGCTGGTGAACTTGCCCCCCAGCAGCGGGTGGTCTGTGAAGGGCTCGTTGATGAGCATCTCGATGCCTTCCCCTCCACCTGTCTCCCTCTTGCTGGCCTCCGCCACCGCCCACAGCTGCCCCAGGTGGTACTGCAACACCAACACACTTACACTCACTCCTGCATTATAACATCATACAACAAACTCTGATTCAATGAATGCGTGTATTAGAGACTACCCACTACACACAGTTATGACCTCAGTTGCTATATTATGACATAATGCTATATAGGATGTGTGAAAGAAATTACGTCTAGCAAAATTTAGGAACTGGATGAGTGAGGGCGACCGACGCAGAGACTAGATAAAGAACACTGTTTCCCAAAAACGGTGGGTTTTCTGAGTGGAAGAAAACGTATGTCTGGAAGCTGACTCTAACCGCCCCAAGCTATATAAGGTTATATAAACCGGGACGAAGACGGCGTGGGCACCTTTCTCAAGCCAGCAGCTGCTCTTACATAACGTAAATGACATAAATTAATAACGTACATGGCATAAATTAATTTATTATATATTAATTTATTATATATCAATTTATTATTTACCATTATAAAATAAACAAGTCCCCAATCTGAGCACGTTTTCTTCCAACCTCAGAAAAAACAATTGTTGACACGGCTATGAGGATAATTATGTTGCATTTAGACCTTTTATTATATCATAAACTATTATTTTTGAAAGAGTGAGCACACCAGACTGCCGGTGGATGAAATGCCTTCCATCCTATCCCAGACGTCTGGACAAGGTGGGAACCACACATCTTCCACCAATCCTGGCACCTCTCGTCCACACTTGGCCTAACATCATGGACACCGCCCCGCTATGTCAGGCGCGAGCTTCGTCCATCACCACTCTTACCCTGGATGTACCTTTCTCCGACCCACCACTCATTTGTGCAAGTGAAAGACTACACTCTATGGCTATACCTTATATAAACGGAACTTAACAATTAGTCAATTAAGTGTACACCTGAAAAAGCCACCTCAGAAATCCATTATAGGGTGAGGCTTCACAAGGAGCTGACGTTGGGTTACATGACAACTCGTAGTGAGTATAATGCATACATGGATGTTAATACTGTAAACCCAAATGTTAGTTAAAATGGAAGAGTAGGAAAGAGATTAAGATAAAGAAGGGGTAAAGATAAAGGTGAGATAGCATCACATACCTCCTCCAGGCTGAGTGGTAGAGGCACCCGACTGAAATAGAAATTAATAAAATATTACTGGTCACGATATGGATTATCAATTATTATCACCTGTCAGATATCCCCATGGCTCACCGCTATAAATATTCAACGTGATGAGAATTACGTTTGAGAAGAAATATGTGAAAAGTCCCAAGTTGTGTAAAGACTATAAACTTGTCATATGAAGGGGGACGTTCCCGGCTGCTCCTAGATCTCACTTCTCCCCTCCATCCCTCCTTTATATATGTGTATATATATATACATATATATATATATATATATATATATATATATATATATATATATATATATATATATATATATGTCGTACCTAGTAGCCAGAACGCATTTTCAGCCTACTATGCAAGGCCCGATTTGCCTAATAAGCCAAGTTTTCATGAATTAATTGTTTTTCGACTACCTAACCTACCTAACCTAACCTAACCTATCTTTTTCAGCTACCTAACCAAACCTAACCTATAAAGATAGGTTAGGTTAGGTTAGGTAGGGTTGGTTAGGTTCGGTCATATATCTACGTTAATTTTAACACCAATAAAAAAATTGACCTCATACATAATGAAATGGGTAGCTTTATCATTTCATAAGAAAAAAATTAGAGAAAATATATTAATTCAGTAAAATTTGGCTTATTAGGGAAATCGGGCCTTGCATAGTAGGCTGACAAGTGCGTTCTGGCTATTAGGTACGACATATATATATATATATATATATATATATATATATATATATATATATATATATATATATATATATATATATATATATATATAACTATGACCTCTCCCAAATATACTGATAACCACGGTCAAATAAAGCATTATAAATTTACCACATGGTTTTAGTGGTATATATTTTATAAATCCCTCGATCACTTCGATAGAACACGGCATTTTGTGTCAAACTGCCCAAGCCAAGCACAATATATTCCCCGTTAAAAACAAAATTTACAGTATCACAGTCATTATTCTCTGCTTTCCAGTTACACGAGTTAGGGAGTCATTAGTCCAAACAAGCAGAATACAAAAATAGAGAATAGTTAAAGATACTGAAAAAGACGGCCAACCATGCACCCAGTCTCCTCGCTTGGATAGCATGACGTAGCCTGTCTGTCCTCCGTCACCCTCATGTCTGTCCACCGTCACCCTCACCTGTAAAGTACTGGAACCAGATTCACGAAGCAGTTACGCAAGCACTTACGAACCTATACATCTTTTCTCAATCTTTGGCGGCTTTGTTTACAATTATTAAACAGTTAATGAGTTCCGAAGCACCAAGAGGCTGTTTATAACAATAACAACAGTTGAGTGGCAAGTTTTCATGCTTGTAAACTGTTTAATAAATGTAACCAAAGCCGTCAAAGATTGAGGAAAGATGTACACGTTCGTAAGTACTTGCGTAACTGCTTCGTTGATTTGGCTCCTGGACATTCACTTGTCAATTAAAAACGGATTCCACCTAACCCTATTTCTCTACCACTTTTTGGTCTATGTTCACAGTTGTCTTTTTGGTTTTCCATTCTCGGCTTGTAATCCAGTTCGGGACCCCATTATGCTACAAAATACTTCATACACACGCTAAACTACACGTAACTACATTTAGCTTATCAAGACTAAGTGCTACATAGTCTCCCCGGCTTGGCGCCTTCTTTTGATAATTACTAACTTATTAAGACTAACTGGCTTAGGTAAAGGAATGCTTGGAGTTCAGTTGCAGAGCTCACTATGTGCCTCCGTAACATTTGCCACCACCGCCCACACGATGGGTAAGATGGGCTGCGTGATAATTAAATAAAATCACCGTTGTCGGGAATATGAAGTACTGTAAGCGTGAGGCTTATCGCAGTCCGCGTAGGTCTAGACCGACGATTGACCGTAACACATACCACCCTTCAGGATGAGTATGGGGTGCACAATAAACTACCGCTCACGATGAGTATGGGGTGCACAATAAACTACCGCTCAGGGTGAGTATGGGGTGCACAATAAACTACCGTTCACAGGAGGAATATGGGTGCACAATAAACTACCGCTCACAGGATGAGTATAGGGTGCACAATAAACTACCGCTTACGGGATGAGTATGGGGTGCACAATAAACTACCACTCACAGGATGAGTATAGGGTGCACAATAAACTACCACTCACAGGATGAGTACTAGGTGCACAATAAACTACCGTTCATACAAGATGAGTACTAGGTGCACAATAAAATAATAACTGCTGGCAGCTACACTCAATCCCAGATAAGTCTTATTTGTTACAGCAGAAATGCTTCGAAGTTCTAGTCCTATCTTCAGTTCCTCACTTTTGATAATTATTTACTTACATCAGTTTCACAGTAGTTGTTTATATAAACAATATTTCAGGTGTCTCCACAAACCAAAACGCCAATGAGTAGCCTAGTGTTCTGTGATCTTGAAATCTACCTATCCATTTTTTTCGGGGGGGGGGGGGAGGGGGATTGCATTTACATTCTGCGGTTTCCGAAGGAAAACTATGAATTACTAAAGGAATTGATTTATAAAAGGAACACAGGGTATACCGCAAACAACGTCGATCACTTCATGATCAAGGACAGTCGGTTTGTAAAAACAGGAATCTGTCATTCCTCATAAATCCCACTAAAGTTCCTATGCTTGTATTTACACTTTATAACGAACGTGAAGGTAATGTATGTGAAGCTCAACTTACAATTCCTTTATGAGCATCTTGGTGTGGTAGTTACTCCCTGCCGATTCTTGACGCACTGGCGTAATGCCACCGACTCATTCATAACTCACCAACACCCTTGTCTTATCTTATCGTTTAATAAAGGACCTGAATGTCACAGGACGCACTAGCGTGAGCATCGCATATATGCACAAAGCACCATCGCACGCACTCGGTCACCAGGTAAACTGCTGCAGCAGTTGGCAAACCCACAGCACCTCCATCAGTGACTCAGGCGCCACTGGCGAGGCGCGGCGTCCGCCACCACCCTCGCCTGCTTTTTTTAGTCATTTGAGGTTGAAGCACAACTTGCCTTGCGTCATCAACACGAGCAGAATGGATCTTTATTGTATGAGAGTTTATAGATATTTTTGTGGTGAGATAACAAGACCGATTGGATGTACAGACAACCTCACTCATCACTCTGTTACCAGTGTTGTATTGTTGTTACCAGTGTTGTATTGCTGTTACCAGTGTTGTATTGCTGTTAACAGAGTTGTAATTGTTGTTACCACTGTTGTATTCCTGTTACCAGTGTTGCAATTGTTGTTACTAGTGTTATAATTGTTTTTACCAGTATTGTATTGCTATTAAGTGTTGTAATTATTATCAGTGTTCTAATTGTCGTTACCAGTGTTGTATTGCTGTTATCAGTCTTGTAATTGCTGTTACCAGTGTTGTAATTGCTGTTACCAGTGTTGTAATTGCTGTTACCAGTGTTGTAATTGCTGTTACCAGTGTTGTAATTGCTGTTACCAGTGTTGCATCGTTACCAGTTTTGTAACGCTTACTGCCAGTGTTGTATTGATGTAACTAGGGCTGCATTTATGATACCTGTATTGCATCAGTTACCAGTTTTGCATCGCTATTACTATATTGTTGTATTTCTGCTATCAGTGTTGCACTGCTGTTTTATAGTGTTGTATAGACGCTATAACCAGGTGTTACTAGTGTTGTAACTCAGTATGGTGGGATGTGATGCGACAGCAGACGGCTAAGACTTCTTGCTACAATTGTCTGTATTAAACTGGTGTTACGTTATCATGTTAATGTGTACTCTTGGCACCTCTGCGGTTCCTGCCTCTCAGTGGAAGCTCTGGGACCTGCTCTACTGCTTATAATATCTTACTGCTCTTAATAAGGCTTGCCTAATATTGTGTAGGACTGGCTTACCGCATGAAGTAACTATAGATTACTTGACCTCACTACAAGAGCTGACATCGTGATGTCGCTGGCTCTCTCACCTTTACACCAGCCTGTATCAAGAGTGACGAACCATTTTGAGATTGCTTGCTCAGATTAGTGATAATCTTCTACAACGTTCTCTCGCGTGCTCATGGAGAACAAAATGCCTGAAAGCATTCTTAAAGGAAATTAAGCATATTTTGCTCTCGGTGAGACTTGCTGCTGCACCAACTAATATATATTTTACATCAGGCTTGTATTTGGTTGTTTTCAGAGTTACATACTCAACACTTTAAATGGTTGGGCACCATTTCTTTCCTCCGTCCCATTCTACATTCTTACCCGCATATTCTTTCCAATTGCTATTAGCTCTTACCTCTTTAAGAGCCTACATACCATTTACCTGAGGGCCATCATATCTCTATAGTGACCTCAACGGGAATAAGAAGCCGGCGACTTGTCAAGAGTCTCCAACTCTTTCTGAGGATTTTTTCCAGACGACTTTTAAACTGAAGTACAGTACTGCACCGCGGCAGGTGGGGAATTCCAGGAGGTTAACGAGGGAAGAGGGTCTCTCAGTATAATCGCTTTTGGCCTGAGATCGGGCTGTGATGTACGCTATTGTAGAGAGAGGTAAGGAAGCCCTAATACTACCCTGATACAGTCTTCGTAGAGGCAAGAGAGCCATAATACTATTATAATGGAGTACTACTGTACATCCCTATATAATCCCGGTAGTACAATTGGTTTCGTTCTCCACTCACAATCGAGATTTTCGTGTCCGAACCCGGGGCGGGACAAAAATGGTTGGGCGCATTTCCTATCACCTAATACCCCTGACCAGGCCGACACCGGAGCGCAACTCCATAGTCTCCTGAGACTGATGGATGCCTACTAATGCCTCTGTCCACCTAGCGGTAAATAGGTACTCAGGAGTTAGTCAGCTTGTTGTGGGAAGGGCATCCTGGGGAGAGTCAGTAATTTGTCCCTGGAGGGAGGACCTCGATACAAGCCAAACATGCACTGTATGTATAAATTGTGCCAGATCCCCAACATAGTGAATTATGGATTATAATATAGGCGCCTGTGTAAAGAGGTAAGGGAGCCATAATACTTTTTTTTTTTGCAGGGATATTCCTGCGCGGGCCCTAAGCCTCTGGCTGGCCCACTAAGTGTTGCTTGTTTCTGTTTTACTTGGGCGGAGTATGAGTATTCATGACTCGTATGGTCACTTCAGTAAAATTTTACCATATGTGTTTAACAACTTCTGCTCTGTTGAATCTAAGTTGAAATCTTAATGGGTTTGTAACTGTGCACTGTGTTAGATAATGATCCAGTGGTCAATCGGGCATATCTCCACAGTGCTGACGTTTCCTCTCATCTTCTGGAACCTGTAAGCCTATTTCCCATGCACATGGGTATCCAAGCCTGATGCGATGTAAGTATACTTCTGTTGCTCTACTGCTCCCTTTCATCAAACTAAGTGGTTCGTAGTTGGTTGAATTCTTGTACCAACAATCCTGATGTTGCAAATGCTGTGTTGTGGTCACTGTACATCTTATGCATTGCTCTGTTTCTAATTACTTTCTTAATCTGTGATAGACTGTGGTATGTAAATGTCTACATTTCTTCTCTTAGTTGCAAGTTTTGCAGCTTCGTCTGCAATGTCATTTCCTATTATTCCCACATGACTTGTCACCCAGTTGATAAGTACCCGACGGCCTTGTCGTTTGAGTGTTTGTATTAATAATTCAAGAACCATAATCTTAAAGTCTGCTGGCGGAGATTCCCAAATGGCTTGCAAAACCGTCTGCATGTATTTCGTCGACACCCTTCTCAGCGATTGTGTTTGTTATATCGAATATTGATGGTGTTTATCGCACAATGGTTCCACCTGTTGCTATTGGAGGCTCTTCTGTCCAGCGTTAGTGCTCCAGTGATTATATCTTTAAGTGAACTGATTCTAGGTCTAGTCAATATCTTGGTCAAAAATATAAAAAATCAGGGCCTATATTTAATTAATTATTATATAGGCTCTTATAAGGGAGCCTGTAAGTAAGGGATTAAGTATCTTATTATTATAAGATTATTAAGTATATTAAGTAAGGGAGTAATGATACTACCATGATATTGGCTCATGTAGAGAGGTAACGGAGCTATGATTCTATCATGATGTGTTAGCCGGAAGAAGCTATCCTATGACACGCAACAAAAACATAGTTGAATGTTGCCATGCGGTGCCGCTTTTGATTCTTTAAACCTCGCCCATAATAAATAATTAAATATATAATGATTGTCATTATTTCCAAGTGAAGTTGCTTCTGGGTTTGAGAGTTCAAAGAGTATTGCTCAACATGGTAAACCACTCGACGACAGTGATGGAGAATATATAAAGAATCAAAGCAAGAATGTTCTCTTAATTTTTTCGACTTTACCAGATAATAAAAAAATAGCGCATTAAGGATCTGTAATTACTTCATACACTCAGGAATATTGGAAGCTATTCTTGTGCTGTACCCAGAGTTTGCTAGTGGGGGCTAATAGATCAGCCTTACATTTAATAATCTCCCCTGATTCAATGTATGACTAACCATCCTATGAGATGGATATATTATATGAACTTATAGCTAGTTTTTTATCTTCACTGTGTAATCTTTCATATAGAATAGAATAGCAGCACATTGCTGTGTATACCTTGGTTAATAAATAAAGCTTGTTAATAAATAAATATATAAATTGCCAGTGAGCCGAAACATTATACGTAAAATCTAATAATAATAATAATAATATATTTTTGTATTTAAACAAAAGTACATACTTTCATACATATTCTTCATGTGTCCTATATATATTGGACACATGAAGAATGTAGAGTGTATAGGTAAGACAAATACTAAGCCTAAAGCCACTAATACGCCGAGCGTTTCTGGCATAATGCGGAAAAATTACTTAAAACTAAAGAACTTAATACTAATTGAGATCAAAGGCAAAAGTGAATTAAAGTAGAGACAGACAAAAATGGAAAACAAACATCGCAGAACAACTAGCGTAGACATTAACTGATAAGTAAAAACATCTCCCATAATCAATAAATTTATTAAATTTAATTTAATTAAATCAATTAATCAATATTCATTTACTTATGTAAATAAATGTCTTTATTTGCCACCATCTCTCTAGTGGCCTCGATGAGGACGGAAAGCCATCAGCTTGTCAGAGGTCCGCCATTTGTCCTGATGATTTTATCCAGCGGCTCTTAAACTACAGTAGTATTTTGGCATTTATGAGCGCCCCGATGATATATATCATCAACTAGGCTAGCCATTTGCTCCAGTTTGTAGAGTGATGAAATATGCGAAGATTTATTTAACTTAATTGGTAACGTTACTTGAACATACCACGATTGAGGGGGCTGAAATGTGTGAAGCAGCAGTAACTGAACTTTAATTGACAGGTTGACCTTTCAAAACAGTTTCCTTGATCACTGATGGCGCACCTGTTTTATAAATGTTTTCGCAAAATACGTTGTTGAACGTCCACTGATATGTTTTCCTGTATTGTAAAGGAGTTGCATGGTCTTTAGGAACTTGAAGAGTTGATATACATTGTAACCAAGATGGTTAGTTTTGTCTTCGCATGCTTTGAAAAACAGAATCCGAATTTACTGAACGAGGTGAATTCGGAGTACACAAGAAATCTTATGTACAACAATGTTCGTTAGTTTAGTATAGACGTTTTGACTAAACGATTTGCTGAGTGTTTGGAGGAATTCGTACCGTTTTTGATGAATTAAAAAATATTGGCAAAGAATTACTGACGTAGATTAATAACACGAACACTAAATTACAATTAAGAATCTGCTCAACATTTTTAGTAGTTTTAACGTCGGTCTGACGTCGTCCTCCAACGTCACCCGATCCCTAGTTGATTGTGCAGCGCCTACCCTACTCACTCTTCCTCCTGGTCAGTGGGCAAACGTTGAGGTTATTCAAAATGATGCAATGTGAGTCATAACAGGAGCTCCCAGATGGACTAAAATACTGAACCTAAGAATAAAAACCAATC